CTATCCTCAAAAATAACACATTTCATTTATAAGTGCTAATCTTAATATATGCCAATGTCCAATGTTCTGTGAAGCACAGTTCAAGCACTAGTACTTTATTTGATATTTGACATTTGACATTTTTATATTCCCACATATACCAGTACTTGAAGCTATTTACCAATTGAATTTTTAATTTTCATAAACCAAACTTGCATGATCAATCTCTCAAGAGTTATATCATTATTACCACCACGTTAATAAATTTTTGATGAGACCCTCTTTCACTGAGACTAGTGTGGTTGAGGAGCTAAGTACAAAGCACAAGCTAAACTGGGCTCTATACTAAACTACCTGCACTAACTTTCCTCTGCCTACACCTAAACTACTAAAACAAAAATAGCAACACCCACCATTGGCAATCATTTCTGCTCTCACTCACCTGCTTCGATCCAGTGCTTACCTGAAATGACACACAAGAATTAGTGTCGAGTCCCTTCACATACTAACGACAGCAACTTACTGAGAATATTGGCATGATAAAAAAGTATTTGAGGAATCATTCTCCAGAAAATAAAATCACACATTTAGCATCTAAAAGTGTTTGGACATTGTAAAAGCTTGGTGAATTTGTAAAACATCTGGATGAAAGCTGTGCAAGATTACAAACCTTCACTTGTTGGAAGTTCACTAACAAATCAATTAATAACCATGAGGAGCATGGGTCATATTGCAAAGATACAAAGGGTAAAATTATAACAAGATGTATAATACTCATTTCTAAGCAAGCACTGAGTGAATAAATGACCCAAAGTCAAATTACAAAAAAAAAGAAAAAGTGAAAAAAAAATATCTAGTCAAAAGAAATGCCACTGTTCATGTTAAAAATAACATGTATGAACCAAACCTGAACATCAACTTTCAAAAAGTAATAAATGTCTAGAGTAAAACCATACACCAACATTTTACTCATGAGCCCACCTCTCCCTCTGTCCACACCAAGAGTACTAGTTTCATACTCTACTGCAACTTTCAGGTACACTTCAGTAATTCTAATACTTGGAGTTGCAGTCATGCCAATAAATAAAAGAGTATGGCACAGCTAACTGTTTTTCTTTCTTCTATGGACTACACTGGATAGCTAATAATGATGGTAACAAGAAATACCATTTTACTGCACAGCTGAATATCAACCAGAACAACTTGTTATCATCACCATCACCTTGCCTAACTCACCAGAACCCAATCAAAAGCAAAAGAAAAAAAAAAAATCTTTAGTCATATCACTAAGAAAGTTAATAAGTTTCAAAATTACAGTCTATTTTAACAGAAAAACATGCTTCTCACGGACAAATATTGCACAACGTAAAACGCACTCAAGTGTGGGAGTACAAAACAACCTTTCCACCAGGAAGCATCCACTAACTGAATGTGTCAGTATGGACTTTTGTTTCTAGCCCATACTGCTACAATCCAATGTGTTTGATCTATAATTCAAATTTAACTTTTTTCTTCTTTTTTTATTCTTTACTTTATTTTTCTTTTCTTTTTTTTTTTTACCTCCTACATGGAATAATCTACTATCTCATACTATGTATTGTCAAAGTACTTGCTCAACATAACAAAACTAACTCCTTCATTTTCATAATTCCCATCACAAGATCCTTCCTTACAAACACAGCAATAGGCCCCTCAATCACTGACTTTTACATTTTGATTATACAATCAAATCGACAACTACTTCAGGGCATTCAATACATCCACTTGCCAATAATATCGCTTAAGGAGGTTCGCGTATAACCAAATCCTTTTCTTTATGAATGACAAAGTTCTTGGTTTATCAGACAAAACAAAAGCTGTTATCCTTGTCTTACCAAATCAATAAAATATGTTAGTAAAAGATTCAAACATCAACTTCCCAAGGAGCTTTGCTTCTAGCAAATTCAAATAATAAAACAATCACAAGCTATTGATCTATCATAATCTAAGTAACAACCACCTTCTCTTCACCTTGACTAATCTTGTCATCCTTACTCAAAATAAAAATAATAATAGATTCTCAGTATGATTTCCAAAAAATAGACAAAAGCATGACATTAATTCTAATCTTTTCAATAACTCTCCCTTCTGCAACCTAACAAAAACTTTTCAATATATATCTGAGAAATGATAATCCAATTAAATTATAGGTTTAACCTTCAATATCAAATGAAAAATGCATAGTAATTTTCACACACAATTGTGACTTCATAAGGCATAGGTGAACACATACAGCACACACGCAGAATGCCAGAGCACAGGAGAGAGAGGGGAAGAAAACAAAAGGCTGTAATGAATGAAAAGCAAAACAGAAAGATCACAATTCCTTTACAATAATCTCCCAGATAGAGGAATCTTGCACATGATGCTACTAAAATATTTTTTTTCTCAGGAGATAGAAAACAGACGTGAGCCTCCTTAAAGAATACATTTATGTATAGCTTCATTTTTAATTCATTAAATTGCAACCCATGAATAATTTCCCTTGTACAGAAAGATAGTGAAACAGGGAAACACGCTAAAGAAAATAAATGATCACTAAGTTCCACGTTAAAAAAATGCAGATTTATCAAAATATTTTGGTAATTCTACACTGAAAAAGAAGAAAAAACGTCTTGTTCATCTTGCAATAAAGTCCAATGAAAGCTTCATCTGAATACATTTATCTAAATATGTTAAGATCTAGATGAAGATCAACTGTAGAGAGGTCTATGCTAATAGTATTTGCAAGTTCTCAAGGAAAAAGTACATCAAACTGAGAAATTACCTTAAAAATTTGCTTTGACTTAATATCTTTACTGAGAAATATAATGAAGGAGTTCCTTTATTTTGGGTAAACCATTTCATGCAATAACCCATTCAGTTCATCTAATTTCTTGTATGCAGTAACTTTGCACTATAATCGTCAAAGAAAAGCAAGATTTACATGCACTCTGGGTGTCAAGAATCATTTTGCAATGTGAATGAGATTTTTATGCAATTAAGTTCAGTTGAACCATATGTATATTGGTTAAAATCTCGATTATTAAATATCCACACCCACTTTTCATACATTCAAGCAATGTATGCTCTTGAAATCAAAGGGAAACACTTAATGAAAAATAAAAAAGTCGAACGAAAATTAAGCTTAAATAGAAGGCTTTGCCATAATCAGATTAAATTGTATGCAAAATTTCAGATGCCAGAAATCACCTAATGGAGCTCTGCAGTTAAATTACTTATAGCACCAACTGGATAGAGCAGCAAAAACCAGCTAGCACCACCAATCTCAAGAGGCTAGATTTTCTCCCACTTTGATTGTAGAGAAAAGTCCATGAAAGAAAGGGGGAAAATAATAAAAAAATACATATATGAACTATAAATATCAGTGCCCAATCCACTCAGCAGTTTGTGGGTCCACTATTTTCCCCAGACAGACACGACCAAAGCTACAAAACATAGCATGGCTTACCAGTCGCAGTCCAACTTGTTCGAGGCGAGACCAACTCCCCGACACCAATCTTGCTGGAACGGGCGGAGCCTTCCAAGGACAGTGGCGGCAACCTTCAACACACAGCGGCAACACCACCATGCAATCTCGATGAAAGGCTACAGGGCCCTTTTCATTTCACAATAAACTTGCTTCACCTTCTGACCACAGCAACAGTCTAGTTATCAACATGCATGGAAAATCTCAACATTTGCACCAGTCTTCACATTTTGGCCAAAGATGTATTCACAGAATGAAGAAAAACCTTTCCCATAGCATTTGTCTCTTACTGCTTCTCACCAAATATTACTCAAGGGGATATTTAACATATTTAACACCTGTTACACTGTCTTTTTGATAATACCACTAACACCATAAAAAATCTATATTACAATACTCTACCACCTGCAAACAGTTAAATGCCTCAATATTGAGTGATATTCACTGAAGCTCTTCTTTTCATAATCTGAAGTTCATATAGGGAAAGATGGATATATTGGAAAAAAGTAATAAAATCATTGATTACAGCTCAGAGGCTAGGTACTAATAATACACTTCCCAATATGACTAGTGTAAATGTAGTGTGCATCATGTAATTTACAACTATCAAGTCAACCTTCAGAAAAAAACTGATCTTCCCCACACCTTTGTGTGATTATTGACTCCACCAGTATTTCAACAATACTAATATATCTCTTCGCAAATGACCAGTGCCTCAAAACAAAAAAATGCATCCTTCTTGGAATTATGAGATCTGCAATATTCGGTTCTGCAAAATTCCTGAAATAACCTCTCATACAAGAATGTGTTTGGTTACTGAATTATATCGAGTATCACAGCAAGTGATACTAATTCAAAATAAATAACGGAATACAAAGGCTTGTTGTGTATAAGCGCAAGCACTTTGTCAGAGCAACCAAGACATTAAGTTGTTAAAAATCATATAAAATATATCTTTGGATACAAGAAAAAAAGGGAGGATGAAAATCGTAAAATCAAAGTGCTTGTCTTAACACTGGAACTACTTCAAGGAAAAGTAACTGAAAAGCTTTAACCAAACACATCCTCAACTGATGCTACAAGAGAAGAAGGAAGGTGTTTTGATAATTCCCAAACAAGGATTATCATCACTAAAAGCCACGCCAGTGACTTGAAGGGACACTCAACAAAGGACTTCACCTCCCAAATCAACCAATAATAGATATAAAATAATAAGCATGATATCACCATTTTTCTCCCATCTAAAAATGCACATCTGTAGCACAATATCTGCTAGTTCTAAATGGCACTGAATGGAGAATTGTCATTATTATAAAAAAAACTAAAACAAAATGCATATTTGAATTCTGCCCAATATTTGGTAGACAGTATAAACCAATATTTACGTTTGGACTCACCATTTTATTCACTGAACATTATGTGCTGACACGAGATCAAACCAAGAGACATAACAACAGCAATTACTGGGGGGTAAAAAAATCAGTCAAGAGGACAACAAGAAAAAACAACAGCAAAGAAGGCCCACTGCCCATTTATTGGCTAATTACATCATATCATCATCTATGAACAGGTACAATGATCCAGTTATACTAATTCCATTATCTTTCAATGACACCAGAAAATTTCCTTTCGACAATTATATCTTAAAATATATTTCAAAAGTGCAAAACACATCCTATGAAAGGACCAAACAATATGAGCTATGACTTTAAGATACGAGAAAGTAATGTAAAATAAAATAAACTCTCTTATGTATTTCCAGAAATGACAGCAAGGACAGTTATTTGATCTATTTACTGACTTACACATGTATCTTAAACGACAATCTTTCTCTTCAATCTTTGGACAGCTAAATACCTGTACCAATACATGAAGTAACTATCAAAAGATCCAGCACAGACGCAACCACCTCCACATCTTGGGAACAGTGATGCTAGGTAAAAAAGAAGATATGAAAAGGAAAAAAAAAAAAGAAAAAGGAAAAAATATGCATATTGCCACTTGTTGGGGGAAATACAAAACTCCCACTTGGTTAGAATTCCATAAACATCCTTGTCATCAACTCCATCAATCCTTCACAGCATCAATTCATTCTTCCAAACCAAAAGCTTGTGAATAGTCCGAGCTAGGCATAATTCAATCCTCCACGACAGCCAATCCTTCACGAACGTCAACTCCAGAAACAGATGGGCTACTGGTCTGAGATGACACTAGCCCCCAAGTAAGCAGCCATTACCTTGGGTTGCAGCTTGTCAGTTGTCTTTCTTCGTATAAAACACGCCCCTCTCATCCCTTTCGACGTGTGGCAAGGTGGTGCAACTCCCAAGTGGAGTCGCGACCCTTTCCCAACACAGTCCCGGTGATCTCCCCTCTGACTAGCATTAAAGCTGGCAAACATCCAGGATTCTTCCATCCAGACGTTGGCGATCAAGCATTTCTGAATAGGGGATTAAGGAATATACACTGGGGGAGAAAAAACTCTTGGGCATAAAATGCAGACCTAGCCATTCTAATTTCTAAAATAGCTGAAATAAAAGTTTTGAATATAATTAATTTCTTTTAACTGTATAATTGCACATTATTTCATGTGATGGAATGGTGACAGGTTTTTCCCAGTCCCAAACCTAGGCATGTGCCAAAGTGCACATGCAGTAAGCTACTTGAGAGTAAAATTAGAAACAGATGTGTCGCTGTGGCATACAGCTGCACTCCACAGATCGAGCGGTTATGATGCCTCAGGGCGTGACCTGTCGGGAAGGGGTTAAGTATGCTTTCCCAATAAGAGACAATACCTATATGCCATACCACATTTTCTAATGGACTTCTATGTTTTAAAAGGATACCAACTGCTCTACGAGCATCTGCCTCTGTCTGGAAGCGCACAGTTCCGGTGCCCTTCGATCTGATCTCAGCAAACCTTATGTCTCCAAACTCACGGCAAAGATCTCGCAGAGCTTGCCAGGTGTAATCCATGGGTAACTAGAAAGATATTTTATGAAAAATTAAACTCAAGAAACATAAATAATATAGCTAATACAACAAAATACATGGAAAGTAGATAATATCAGATAAGACCCTAATCTCAACTCACATTGCTCAGCTGAATGACATTCCTGGTGTAGCTGTTGCTGCTGCTGCTGGAATGGTTGTAGTCGCGGGACAGTCCAGTTGATCCATAGGAGCCATACCCACTGCCTGAGCCACTCCCCACTGAGCTGGCCCCAATGGCTCCTCGGTTCATGTTGGAGTTCATGAACCCACTCCCACCGCCCAGACTACTCCCGAGACCACCCCCCAGGCCGGAACCCATGTTTGAGGAGTTCATGCCAGAGCCCATGTTGCCCATGCCAGTTCCCATCCCCATGTTGCCCATCATCCCGTTTCCCATTCCGCCACCCATGCCACCACCTCCCATGTTACCTCCCATGCTGCCTCCCCCCATATTTCCACCCATTCCACCACCACCCATGTTCCCTCCCATTCCGCTGTTCATGTTGTCCATGCCACCACCCATTCCTCCTCCTCCCATGCCCATCATCCCCATCCCACCCATGTTCTGGCCACCACCACCCCCTCCACCCATGTTCCCCATGTTTGATGCCATGGCCCCCACATTGGCCATGCCTGTCACCCCTGGGGCAACAGCATTTGGTAAAGCTGCAAGAGAAGGACGGAGCAGTTTGTATATATTCAATTATCAAGAAAGAAATTGTAATACACATACCTACAGCTCTCAAAAATTCTGAAAATTAAGTAACTAGCATGAATATACTTCATTTTTAGTCATGATACATACCTACACTCAAAACTGTGCATTGATATGAAGCTACCTGAATAACCTTATCAAATAATGGTAACAATTCCACAGATATTTTCACAAAGTTAGTCCTAGGACTACTATAAAAATAAATCTAAAACCATCCTACACCAGAAATGATTGAGATCTTGGTCCACATTCCCTACAGAAATAATTTTTTGACATTTGTGTCACTTACACAGCCCTAAAAATACAAAGAAAAAAGTGAAACTATAAATGCATATATATATATAATATATACATGCCAAACACTTATATGTAAACAAGTGCTATGAAAGTATATTCTAAGTTTCTGTTTCCAACAGAGTCAATATTCATGAAACTTTGTTTATGTATCAGATCTTGCATTCACACCTTTCCAAAAGAGTTATCCCTACAAGTAGGATTTCTGGTATGAACTCTGAAACACTGCCCATCACCCTGCTATAATTTATTCCAGTTAAATAATTGTAGCTCACCAGATACATTAAAGCACTGAAAGTTTCTGGTGTGTCTGAGGGGATAAGTAAGAGGGAGGGCATAACCACAGTCCTTTGACTAACAACTGGTCTTACCAACTAACCTATTCCAGTTTATTGTTCTTGCACTACCTAACAAGAAAGACCACTAAGTACAAAAGATGCATCGCAGTGCAGTCTACGTCTTCGGATTCAAATTCGTCTTGTACATTGTTAATGCCATGAACAACTTTCCGTTTGGAAGACCAACATGAACAAGAACAAATATCCCATTTCCATCACCAAAAAAACATAGAACCACTCGTTTACTACAAAAAAGAAAAAAGAAAAAAAATATATTGCGGTAATACAAAAGTGAGGTGAGCTGACCCAAGAGTCGAGCTGTCACGTCCACCTTACCTCCTGTGATACTTGGGTTAATGGAGGGTACATTATCTGTAACAAGAAAGTAGGCACCGTGTCATCTGATGCTGTGATAATCAACAACGAGATGGATACACTTTCTTTCTCTCTTACTTTCTTTTTTTTTTTCCCCATCAACTCTACACTCAACATCCCTTCAGTCATACAGATAAAGAGATGAGAAAAAAAAAAAATGAAGAAAAAAAATACATAATGAATAAAAATAACCTGAAAATTGTCACCAAATAAACCAAAGTATGTCACAAATCACCTCATCAACCCACTTCCTTCAAATATGCACTTCTGGTACACTCACTTATAAACTGCAGAAGTTAATAGGATATCTACAAGGGATCTCAAAAACCTAAACAATACACCTTAAAATTCTAATTGGAATATAATACCATTGTGCACCTATTCCTAATCCAGCCTCTCAAATTAAAGCCAAAAAAAGACGGTTATATCCTGACCTGTCTCGAAGACTCTAAACCTAATCAATCCTAGTTTTGAACATTTGCACAGAATTTGTACTAAGATTATCATAACTGATAAAACTGGAGTATAATGAAGATTTTCTTATATTCATTTACTTGCATATATTAATATCATAAATCAATACATATACATGCATATTCACAGTGAAAATGATATCAACAATATCAATATCTATTCCTATATAGATATTAATAGAGCCATACCATAACTGCTTGGTTTTAATATTAAGGTTTGTAAAAAGATCTGACTATTCATAGTTTGTCCATCAAACAAATGGGCACCTACTGGCAACATCCGTAAGGGCTGACCCATTAATGCCCAGACCCATTCCCAGACCCTTAAGGCCAGGAGGAAGTTTCGTTGCTGTTGATTCCTGCTTTTCAGAGACACGGTCCATGCGCACACTCATCTTGCGGTCATAATATGTCTGGTTGTGCAACATAGAAATACTTTGTACAGCCTCCACTGGATGCTCAAATTCTGAAAACAGTGAAGTATAAACATTTATCCAATTCTAACACACTTTTCATAAATCAAAATCTGTTTCCACTTCAACTGAAGCTATAGAATTTATAATACTCATTCAGCAATAATCAGCTAGCAATTAGACATGATAATTCAACACTCAAAACACCTGTTCAAGTCTTACCCACAACACCAAATCCACGACTCTTGTTATCTTGGTCCTTACTAATCTCAACAGACACAACCTTTCCAGCTATTTTAAAAACATCTTTCAACATTTTTTCATCAACTTTGTAGTCAAGCTGTAAAGGAAAACAATTGTATTCTTTAAAGAACTAAAATATCATTAACTTCAATAGGACAAGAAAATACTTCATAAGAACCTAAATATCATGCCACAAAGAAACCAAATCGACAAATTACATTTTTTCAAATCAGTTGATGACAATGTATGCAACACACAATCAGATAAAAAATACCAAACTCACATTAGCAACAAAAACTTTGTTAACAAGAGGTCCAGTGATGCCAAGAGATTCAAGGAATACTGTAGACAAGCCATATGTATTCCCAAATTTGTTTGCCATGCCCTGAGGTCCAATATCTGCCCCACGAGCAAATTCACGACCTCCTCGCATGTCAGATTTCATTATGCCTCCTCTGTGTCGGTCACGGTCAGAATCAAAGTCCTGTTAAGGAAAGAAAATAATTCAAAAATGTAGCTGGAGAAATTCATCACAAACATAAATGTATCATACAAAACATTTTATTACTTAATATCTAATCTACATATATTACATGAGTAAAAAGACCACCTCATTGCATGTCCCTTAACAACATTTTCTACACAACTTTTATCACCAATACAATTACAGTTCATGCTCTTTATTCTTTGGGTTACATTAAAATGCATACTATCTATAGATCTTCTTGCCACAAACATTGCCAATCCAAGCAGAAGTGATAGTGAACACCCTTTGAGGTTCAAGAAATTACACCTATTCTTCAAAACTCCTCAACAATGTATATCTACAACCTACCACATGTTGAAATATAATTACACTTTACCTGACTTGAATTTGATATATAGATATTACACTCCATTTAATCAGTCTAAAGAGTATAGAATAAATACTGCAATGTTTTCATATCAACAACTGGCGATAAAATACCAAAGAATGTAATTACAAATCTATTTATAAGAGCTCTAGTGCAAAATCAAACTATACATAATACAGAAATGCATACAACTATTTTTTCGTCGCTATGTACTTTTCTTTCAACATAAAAAAAAAAAAATTGAAATGTTGCACATTTTTCTTCTATTTTTGTATCCTTACAACTCTGCATATCTCTTGAAAAATGACATAAATATCAACTTAAAGAACTTACTATCTTGAATCATTACAAAAGCTAGAAATGAAGGGAGAGAAAACACCGAAGGGTCAGAGAAGGAAACTTACACTTAATTATTGTATTCAAAGGCTCTGCTGTCCAAGAAAGTATCAAAACGACATATAAGCTGGTAGTAAAATTTTTAACTCATTTCTTTGTTTAGCACAGACATGTTATCTAACTTTCAAATAAGGTTAGCTTAGAGATGTATATTTCCTCACTATATTACCAGATTCAGTTGACAAATATCTAACACAGAATACCTAAAGCAACATCATTAAACATCACTTACTTATTTGTCAGGGGGAGAGACAGGTAAGCAATAAATCAAATCAAAACCAGAACAGATAAAAATCCATAGACCAACAGAAAGATAAAAGCTCATGCAAGCCAAACTATTAAACACCGAAGGGTCAGAGAAGGAAACTTACGCTTAATTATTGTATTCAAAGGCTCTGCTGTCCAAGAAAGTATCAAAACGACATATAAGCTGGTAGCCAAATTTTTAACTCCTTTCTTTGTTTAGTACAGACATGTTATCTAACTTTCAAATAAGGTTAGCTTAGAGATGTATATTTCCTCACTATATTACCAGATTCAGTTGACAAATATCTAACACAGAATACCTAAAGCAACATCATTAAACATCACTTACTTATTTGTCAGGGGGAGAGACAGGTAAGCAATAAATCAAATCAAAACCAGAACAGATAAAAATCCATAGACCAACAGAAAGATAAAAGCTCATGCAAGCCAACTATTAAAAAAAATAATAATAATAATAATAATAATAATAATAATACTGACCATCACAATGCACTACAAAATTGCTTAGTCATCCATCACCACTACTTAACAGGCAACAAGAGAGAGAATTAATAGACGATGTGTTTCTGTCGAGCAAAAACCTCACTGCTTACCATTCTGTTTCCAAGCCGAATTTGAGCTAAATGGGCCAGGGGTAGTTCATCTGCTTTCTGTAAAGGTTTGAAATGGTTATACTAGGTTCATTACATCAGTAAGTTTCAGCA